CGACATAGAGATGAACCCTCCAAAATCTTCCACGGCCGCCGCGTCGTCCAGCGCAGATGGGGGCAGCAGGCGCAATGTCATCAAGAACGCCTTCGGCATCAGCCCGCCTCCGAAACCGGCAGGGAAGAAACAGAAGGTTGCCACGTGGAGCCCGATGGTGGTGTTCTCGTCGCAGGAGGACGTCGAGCTCGCTGACCCGCCCGCCGCGGCCCCGAAGGAGGATCGGAGGGGGCGGGCAGGGTGGGAGGGGGAGGGGAGCAGTTTTGATTTTTCACGGCGTAACCGAACCCCTTCGGGAGGGGAGCTCGGGAGGGGCAAGTGAGAGACCCGCCCCAGGATCCCCTGGCCACGTATTTCGATTTCAACTCCGAGCCGATGTGCATGGTGATGAAGTTCGCAGACAGGGAGGAGCGGGGAACACTGACGAAAGGAGGCGATGGTTTCTTGGATGCCGTGTTTCCCGACGGCAGGACGGAGAAGACGGAGCAGCCCAACGCCCTCCTGGCAGCAAGAGCGGCAGCCGCGCAGGCGAAGGCGAAAGCGTGCAAAAAAGGGAAGCCAGCAGGACATGTAGTGGCAAAGAAGCCTGCAATGAGAAAGCCCAGTGCAGCCGCCGCGAACACGGAGACGGACCAGGACGATGAGGGGGAGGAGGAAGAGCAGCTGGAACCCGATGAGCCCGTGGATGCTGCAGATGAGCCCTCGGTCGGCGCTGGGCCCCCCGCTGGCCACGCCGACCGCGGGTACAGCGTGATGCACTACAAGAGGGGCCACTCTATCGGGTTGAAGCGGACGCACGGTGAGAAGAACCAGTTTGTGAGTTTCGGCGGGAAAAAGTACAAGGACACCTTGGACGAGGCCACGCTCAGGGAGATCGGCGCAGAGCTGAAGAAGGCCTTGGTCGACGGCACCGTGGCTGACACCAAGGAAGCTGCTAAGGCGGAGGCTGAGCGCTTAGTGGCACAGCGCTTGGGCGACTAATCGCATCCATCCTCATCATCGCATCCATCATCATCATCATCCTTACGGTCTTCATCGCCATTGCCATCGCCATACCCGTTGGCAGAGCGCCCTCTCCAGTGCTAGACGACACCCCCTCATCGCAGGGGCGCCCCTCCGCGAGGGGACCGCGCGATGGATTGGCGAGTGATGGGACCCCTTAAGAGGGGAACCCCTTAAGAGGGGCTTCAGCACACTCGCGATAAGACAGGGCAACGGCCCCCTCCGAGAGGGGGCCCCTCGGGGAGGGGATCAAAGGTGCGGCAGTCTGCTTACTCACTATGTGCATGGCATTGCGTTTCCTCCTCGTTCCATCCCTCTCCCATTTGCTTTCATGTTCTTCATCCGCAACCGTTCGACAGAGCTGACGCCCAGCGCGCTTGGGGGCCAGCCCCCCGCCCCGAGCTCGCGGCCATGCGGGCGCTCATCGTGTGCCTCTCGGCGCTCCAGGCCGCGCGGAAGCAGAATGCAAGGGGGGAGTTGGGGCAGGATGAGGAGAAAAGTAAGAGTGACGGCCACTTGTTTGGCCATCTGGGCGATAAAAAATCAATCCAGCAGCCGAGTTTTAGACCCACCTTTTTTAGCAAAAAAAGGGGGTCTAAAATTGGACGAATTCCTATGAAATTCCATTACATTCACCCCCCCGAAGGGCCTCCCACGAGGCCCCCAGATTTTAGCCTTTTGAGTCTGACTAAAAACTTTCGGCCGCAACCGTTCTGGACCCCAGGCTTCCGGCATGATGATGTCGGGCGGCTGCGGCGGCGGGCTGCCTCCAGAAGGCGGTGGCGGCGGCAAGCGGCCTCGCGAGGAGCTGGGGGTACAAGTGGTTAAGGCGCCCCTTCCTGAGGGGATCCGTTTACAGAGAAGGGGATCCGTTTACAGAGACCCCTGCCAGAGGGGATTTATCGATAGAACCTCCCCTTCCTGAGGGGATTCATTCACAGAGACCCGTGACCCTTCCTGAAGGGATTGATTTACAGAGACACCCTGCAGGACGGGCACGCGCCTGTCTTTGAGGTCGAGGACGACGACAGCGAGGCGGATGAGGAATTCATGCTGGACTTCCAGGACCACAGGAAGCGGTACACCCGCTCGTCCCACCGCTTGTGGCTTCGCAAGATGAACTGCAAGAAGTGTTGGCAGTGCGGCAAACACACCTTCTTCTCGGTGTGCGTTGGCAAGACGTGCCAGGAACACCACGCGACCCAGTGGTTCCACGAGCACGGCGACCGCGACCGCAACGGGAGGAGGTGGAGGGGCGGCAAGAGCGAGGTCGCCAGAGCCAGGCAACGCAAGGGTGCAAGTGGTGGGGAGGGGGGAACCCTCAAACATTGAGGAATGAAGTTATGTCGGTTTGATGTTTTGATTTTCTCAATGTTTATCCTGGTCAGTTTTCTGCGCCTGCCAGGCACTGGCAGCGGAGGTGCGATACCAGGGAGGCGGTCTTGGTCGGCCTGCTGCAGGACCGCACCCCCCCCCTCTGCCCCGCGCTGCCAAGAAG